ACCAAACCCACGCCTGACGCACCTTCCTTGCTGCAGCATGATGAAGTGGAGACTTACTTCCATGAGTTTGGCCATGTCATGCACCAGCTGTGCTCACAGGTGTGTGATGTGGGACCCCTGAGGGTCAGGACATCACTGGGCCCTCTGCTGTACGAAAGTTGTTTTTATTACATTTGCTTATTTTGCTTGTGAGGAATATGGCGTGCATGTGCCATGCCTTGCATATACAGACCAGAGAACAATTGACTCTCGCCCACCATTTGGGTCTTGGGGTTTGAACTCATAGCCTCAGGCTTGGCAGCAAGCCCCCTTACCCTTTGAGCCATTTCATTGGCCTGTCTCTTCCCTCTTGCCCTGTGTCTGGGGTGATAGTGGCTTGCAGTGGTCCCTGTGGCCTCGTCACACTGCCATCTTCTCTTTCTATAACCATCTTGCCCACACTTACATCCTAAGGTGGCTTTGGAGGTAACGTTCAGCCCAGCTTTTCCTAGCATTGGGCTGTTGTGTGCAGTTTGCATGCACGGGAGGCTGGGACCTTGTGAATCTCAGTGTGAGGCCTGGGGACCCAGAGACATGGATGGCGCAGCCTCTGGCCTCCACGGTCAGTGCTGTCTAGTGTGCAGGAGCCCGACGACCTGATACCTGCTGGGGTTACACAAAGGTTTAGGCCAGATGGGCGTCCTGGGCACCAGTGTGCCTAAGGCTTTCCCCGCTTGTGCCCTATGTAGGCAGAGTTCGCCATGTTCAGTGGGACCCATGTGGAGCGTGACTTCGTGGAGGCGCCATCACAGATGCTGGAGAACTGGGTGTGGGAGAAGGAGCCGCTGGTGCGCATGTCTCAGCACTACCGCACAGGCAGCGCAGCCCCTCAGGACCTGCTGGAGAAGCTTATCAAGTCACGCCAGGCCAATGCAGGTGAGGCCATAGGTCCTTAGCCAGATATGAAGCTTAGTGGCACTTACTGCTGGCTGACCTCTGACCTCCCCCCAAGGTCTCTTCAACCTTCGGCAGATCGTCCTAGCCAAGGTGGACCAGGTCCTGCACACACAGACAGATGCAGACCCAGCTGAGGAGTATGCCCGGCTCTGCCAAGAGATCCTTGGGGTACCAGCCACACCAGGTAACTGCTCAGAGTCCTGCCTGACACTGCAGGGCCTCCATCTTACCCAGCTCCCAGAGAGCCACAACATGGGGAAGCCCCTGGGGCTGCTGGAGACGTAAGCCACGCCTTCCTTACTCCCCCTGAAGCCTTAACCCATGCTCACACTACCTACCTAACCTGTCTGCTGCAGCTAGCGTCTGTCACGGGCCTGGTACAGGGGGTGCACAGGGACATGCTGCACACCATTCAGAGCCCAGGACACATCACCATGGGCCCCACACTGTCCCCGCCCAGTCTGTTCTTCCCCAGAGTGACACTGCAGCCTGTACCTTACTGTGTCTGTCCAGGGACCAACATGCCAGCCACCTTTGGTCACTTGGCTGGCGGCTATGACGCACAGTACTATGGCTACCTGTGGAGCGAGGTATACTCCATGGACATGTTCCACACACGTTTCAAACAAGAAGGTGTGCTGAGCCCCAAGGTGAGTTGAGGTGCATTGCCCCTGGGGCCTCCAAACAGCTATGGCAGAAGCTAGGAATAGTACCCGGGCTGCATGAGGTTCCCAGCCAGGTACCAGCTGGAGCCTGCACACACCCTAAGATGCTGATCCCAGGTCTATAGAGCTTCCCCTGGGTGTATAGAACCCCAGCTGTCAACCCCATCCCCCTTTGACCCTAATCCCTTTTGCCCCCCAGGTCGGCATGGATTACCGGACCAGCATCCTGAGGCCGGGGGGCTCTGAAGATGCCAGCACCATGCTGAAGCAGTTCCTGGGTCGTGACCCCAAGCAGGATGCCTTCCTCCTGAGCAAGGGCCTGCAGGTAGAGAGCAGTGAGCCACCTGCCTGCTGACCACAAACCAGCTCGCCGCCTGTGCCTTAGCCTAGCCCAGACTGGGTGGCCTCAATGGCCCTCAGGCCTGTGGATGAGCTTGGGGGGCAGTTTCTCATCCTTGTCATGCCCCGGTTCAAGGTCCCTCAGGGCTTGGCCTCAGGCTGCTCTGGTGGCCTCCTTCTTGCACTAGCCCCTCCCCAGCACCCGGTGTTGGACATGGTTCCTCTGTGATGTAGCCATTAAACTTGACACAGGGCCCCCTGCCGGCTCCTTCCTCCGTTGCTTTTGCCTGCCACATTCCCAGTGCTCTGGGCTGTGACATTCTTGGGTCACATGCCGCCACTCCAGCTATTGGAGGGTGCTAAGGCCACCTGGCCAGTGTGTCATTCGGGGTCATTGTGTCTCTTTTCAACCACCAGTTTTAGGGACAGGTTGAGGGGGAAGATTTGATGAGGTCTGCCACCTGCTGGCTGTCTACAGTATGGCAACCTCTTGCCACCATTAAATCTGCATTTAAAGAAAGACCTGGCCTCATGCAGCACCCAGGCTGGCATCCTCCGGCTGACCTGAGCAGCAGACTGTACAAATACACAACTGGAAAGCTAGTGGGCGTTATTGGATGTCTGTCCCGCCAGGTCCCGCTATGCTCAGCCCCAAATAAACACACAGAGTCTACATTAATTATAAATCTGTTGGCCGATGGCTAGGGCTTCTTATTGGCTAGCTCTGTCTTAATTACTAACCCATACCTACTAATCTATGTATTTCTACATAGTCTTATCTTACCGGATAAGACCGGTTACTCCTTCCTCTGCTACTGGTGTCCCTTTGCAGTGCCTCTCTCTGCCTATCTTTCCCAGAATTCCTTGTCTCCTAGTCCCGCCTGTCTTCCTGCCTCTATTGGCCAAACAGGGTTTTATTCATGAACCAATAAGAGAATCATATACACAGAAGGACCCCCACCCCCACCCCCATCAAGTAGGCGTAGCAAAGCAAGCTAGTGAGATCACACAAGATCCCACACTAGACAGCTGGTGGTGCACGCCTTTAATCCCAGCACTCGGGAGGCAGAGGCAGATGGATCTCTGTGAGTTTGAGGCCAGCCTGGTCTACAGAGCAAGTTCCAGGACAGCCTCCAAAGCCACAGAGAAACCCTGTCTCAAAAACAAACAAACAAACAAACAAACAAAAAGGTCCCAAACTAGCCACGGGTCTCCTCTGTCTGAAGACTTAGAGCCATCCTCTTTAGACACGACAATACAGGATGTCATGCTGGTATCTAGGAGGCCACCACTGAGACAGGGGCATGGGCATGGGCATTTCCAGGCCAGTGTGGCTTGTGTGGGTTCCTGGGCCAATGGCTCAGTAACACTTTCCATGCAGGTTTGCTGGCCTGAGTTGATCCCCAACAGCGTTTGAATTCTTGTGCAGGGTGTTTTTATGTCTGCACAGGCGTGGGAGGGAGGATGCCTGAGGCTCCCTGGTCAGCCAGCCTAGGCGAATTGGTGTCCCCCAGTCAGTCTCAGAAAACAGATCTAGAACTGGAGGGGTGGTTGACTGGTTAGAGCCCTGGCTGCTCTAACGGGGATATGGCTCATAGCATCATTTGCGGAGGTGGGGGGTGGGGGGGTCAATGTTCTCCTAGCCACTGAACCATCTCTCTAGCCCATGGGTCAATGTTCTCATACAGGCACAGGAAAGGGGGCACTGGACAGATGGGTAAGTGGTTAGAGCAGTGTTGCATTTACAGACTTGGGCTCAGGTCCCAGCACCCATAGCAGCCCAGGATCATCTGTCGCTACAGCTCCAGGGAGCCCAGTGTCACCATTCCCATAGGCTCCTGCTCCCACATGGTGCACACGCACACCAATACTGTAAAAGGAGGATGGCCCCCACTTTGAGATCTGGTTAGCTCAAGATCAATGGGGCCTGTGTCCAAGAGGATGAGGTGACAGACACTTTGGGGTCATGTAGCCTATATCACACAGACAATGGGCAGGGACCCTGCACAGATTCATCTGGCACTTTCAGATGACGATTTACCCATAAGGAAAAAGCATAAGGGATGCTAGCACTGTGCACACAGGGAACGTCTTGAGTTCCAGCCAGGCATAGCTAGAGACACCTTGTCTCAACAAAAAGAGAAATATGTGTGTTGTACGCACATACATGTGGGGGCCAGAGAAGACTCCTTGTCCCCCTCTGTCCCTCCCTGACTTGCTCCCTTCACTGAGGGTCTCTGGCTGTACCTGAAGCTTGCCCTTGGGATCCACCTGTCTTGTGCAGTTATAGTCAGCCACACTCCTCTTCCTGCTCAGTTGGCTGGGATTCAAACTCAGGTCCTGATGTTTGCCAGGTAACCATCCCCACCCACTGAGCCACTTCACCAGCCCCAAGTCTGTCTTTTTTGTTTCTGTGCGTTTGTGACAGCGTTTCTCTGTGTAACAGCCTTCATTGTCCTGGAACTCACGCTGGAGACCAGGCTGTCCTCAAACTCACAGAGATCCTCCTGCCTCTGCCTCCGGAGTGCTCAGATTAAAGGTGTGTCACCATGCCCTACTCAAGACTTAACTTTCACCTTCTGTTTGCATTGTCTTTGCAATGGCTGCCATCCCCTGGCTGTTATGCATAGTCCACAAGACCAGACATCATCCATTCCTGCTAACCCTGGGCTGGCTTGTTCAGTGCCTCACTTTCCTCACCATAAAATCAACAGAGTGGGCAACCAAGACCTTGGTAGGCAGGTAGGTGCCCATTCTCTGTAGAGGCCTTCTGCCTCCTGCCACTCTCCAAGGTGCTGAACTCACCTATGTCTGGGAGAACAGTCAAACCCCATCCCAGGCTGCCTGCCAGAGCCCCAACTTCTGAACGTAATGTGTGTGTAGACAGGGTCTAGTGTAGCTCAGGCTGGCCTCAAACTACCTGCCCCAAAGATGACCTTGAACTCTGGTTTTTGGAAACATCTCTGTAGCCCAGGCTGGCCTCCAGTTCAGAGATTGACCTGCCAGTGCCCCCCCAACTGCTGGGATAACAGGTGTGTACCCATTGAGCCACAGTCCCAGTATTGTCAAAATACTTTATTGATGGTCACACAGTCTTAGAAAAGGGGTGTTTAGCTGGATGGTGGTGGCACAAGCCTTTAACCCCAACACTTGGGAGGCATAGGCAGGAGGATCTGTGTGAGTTTGGGGCCAGCCTGGGCTACAGAGTGAGACCCTGTCTCTGAAAGAAAAAAGGGAGATGGACGACTGGGCTGGGCCTACACTCAAGTCTGCACCCTGGCATTGGGGAGCCCAGGTCTGCATCTTCTCAGTGATCAGGGGACAGAGAAGGCTCCCTGAGTTGGGGATCCTGGCTCAGGTATCAGTGTCTGTCTTGCCTTACACTGGGATCTGTGCTTGGGCCTGGCAGCCCTGCTGCTCTGGCTTGACAAGTGGGGATCAGTTTATGGGGGAGGTGCTGTCAGGCCCTAGGGTTGTCTGAAGTCTGGACCTGCTACTGCCAGTCACAGCACCTCCAGAGCACCCCGCACCAGACGGACCCTGAGCCACCTTGGAACCCAGGACAGCCACATCTCCATCCCTGGCATCTCCAGCCCCACACGGCCTGGGCTGAGCAGCGATTCCAAAGCCACCCAGTCCAGCAAGGTGGCCCGGCCCAGGTCCTCCGTGGTGTTGACCAGCACCAAAGTGGAGTTGTCTAGCTCTTCTGTTGAGTCACTCAGCATTGGTATTTCTATAAAATTCCCCCAGTCTGCACCGAGGCTGCTGGAAGGAGAACCTTTGTGGGGTGTGCCAACGTCTGGCCAGGGTCCTGGGACCTCGGAGCCTGGGGTGATGTCGGGAGCCACGCGGGATGCAGCGTGATTGTGGAGGGTTCTGGAAAACACTGTGGAGAATTATGGAGTCAAAGGAGAACATAGAGGCACAGTCCTGGCCTTCATCTGCTGGCTCTGGCTTCGAGGGCCTCCCTTGCTCCAGGGTGGTAGGGACTGTGTCCCCCAGGTTTGTCACACTTATTCACATTGCATGCACCATTATTTTGGCAGTGCCATAGCACCCTATGTGGGTCTGAAGACTGTTTTGCATGATTCCATCCTTCCACTGTGTGGATGTGGGAATTGAACTTGGGTTGTCAGCTTGGCAGCAAGTATCTATCTGTCCGCAAGTCCCCTAACATAAGGGCTCTGTGTGTGTGTGAGTGTGAGTGTGTGTGTGTGTGTGTGTGTGTGTGTGTGTTTGCTGACATTTTGTCAGGGGTCTCATGTAGCCTATGTAGCCCGTGTATTCTGGGTAGCCTAGAATAACTCTGAACTGATCCACCTCCCAAATGACAAACATGCGCCACCAACACCTGGTTTCTGTGGTGCTGGGGATGGAAGCCAGGGCGTCTCACATGCCAGGCCAGCACTCTGCCTGCCGAGTCCTGCCGTTACCCCAGGGCGCAGGAGGCTGGGACCACCTACCTCGCACTGGCACGAAGTCTCCAGGGCTGTCGACCTTGTTGGAGTCGAAAGGGCTGATGGAGGGGAGGACGATCAGGACGAAGGACAGTAGAAGGACCTGCCAGACATGGGCGGGGTCACCCATCCTTCCCCCTCCCCTGTGAGCACAACTGAGCTCCCACTAGCTAGCAGAGGGTGCATGAGACTTTATTTTATTTTATTTAGGTGGGTGTGTGGTTTATTGAGATGGTGCCTTGCTGACCTGTACCTCATAGCAATCCCCCTGCCTTTGTTTCCCGAGGTTTATCCTAACAAGCCTGTCCCACCATGCCAGGCTCCAAGACTCTGCTATTAAAGACATGTACCTCCCCCAATACACACTTGACTAAAGCCAAGCACACCCCCAGTCTGGGGGACCCCGAGAACACCTGCAGTCTGAACTCACCGCTATGCAGGTGCCTGCATGGGCAGACTTGCTGCTTGACTGGACTACAAGAGCCTGCAGGTGTCTCAGCTGCTCCAGAAGAGACCTTGCAGGGAGAGGACACCCGAGTTGAGCCCTTGGGGTTGCCTTGCTTCCTGACCCTTTCTGGGATCCCCCAGCCTCTTTGGTGTACAAACTCCACCCTTTCTAAGCTGCCTTTCCTGCCTCCCCCCTTTCTCTCTGCCCCTCAGTCCCTCTGATCCTGCCACACAGCAGACTCTTCCCTGTCCCAAGCTTTTGCCCAGACCCGGCCCTCTGTGCCAAGGACATTGTTTCCACAGATAACGTGTGTAGCTGCTTCTTGCTCATCCCATAGGACTTTGTATATGCTAATTCCTCTCTAGCCAACTCTTACACACCCTTCAAAGACCCAAATACAAAATCCCCTTCTGGGTATTCAGAGGTCTCATTTCCTGCTCTTTTACAACCACTGTGCCAATGTTTGTCCCTCAAGCACCTGCCCTGGGCAAACGCTAGGGAGACCAACTCCCATCTCAAAATACACTCACAAATTTTGCTTTTCTAAATGCAAGACCTTCCTCTGCAGCTCCTGGTTCTGGGCAGTACATGCTGACATCCTGGAAAGACAAAGACCCAGTGACATTGAGAACATACCTTTCACCCGCCAGGCCCACAGACACTTCCCAGGGACCCAGTGACATTGAGAACAGTGCATCTGTAACAAGGCCAAGATATGTTTGTCATGTGTGTGTTCTGTGAGGTGTGCACCCCTATGGGGTCTAGAAGGGACCCTGGGTGTCTCCTGCAATCTCTCTCCACTTTTTTTTTAAGACACAGGGTTTCTTGTAGATCAGGCTGGCCTCAAACCCACAGAGATCTGCCTGATGCTGCCTTCAAGTGCTGGGATTAAAGGTGTGCGCCACCATGTCCAGATTTTGTTTTATATATATATATATATATATATATATATATATATATATATATGGTGAGCCACCATGGGGGCTGAGAATTGAACCCAGGTCCTCTGCAGGAGCAGTCTAAGTGCCAAGCTGTCCTGCAGTCCCACGCCCAGGTAGCCCTTATTGTTTTCTTTATCTCTCCATGTGTGTATATTAATGCAAGTGGTCACAGCAGAAGCAGCTGATTCCCAAGCCAGCTAGTCAGGCCATTGAGCCTCTGTTTCTCCAGACTTCAGTGTGAAGGTGCTGAAGATCTGACCTCAGGTCCTCACACTTGAGCAACCTGCAGTTCGCTACTAACCCTACGGCCTGGGGCGTGAGGCAGACCTGCCAGGGGTGCCCACCTCGCTGTCCTCTGTCTGACGATTTCCATGTCCCTTGTCACTCGTACAGAGACTGAGTGCTCTGACCCCACACAGAGCTGAGGCAGCCCCCTCCTTCATCAGCACCATTTCCCCGGTGGGACTCAGTGGGTGCAAGCAGCAAAGCCTCCTGCCACAGGTCACCAAGTATGATGGACCCAAGTTTGACTCCCACAGCCCCCCCCCCCCAGAGGAGAAGCAGAGAGCCGATCTCCTCAGGTGCATGGTGGCCTGCCTGTTTCCACACACTGCAATCAATCAATCAACCAATCAATTAATCAATGCCAGGACGGTTCCCAGCCATCCTTGGACTCCTGGTATTAGCAGGAAGAAACAGTATGTCCCCAGTTTTGTTGCGCTGTGAAAACTTCGACCATCTCTGATTCAGTTTCCCTTAGGAGTGTCAGTGGTGGCTCCTGCCTTACCGGTTCTCCAGACCATCGATGTATTCTTTTTTTTTCTTCCTGCTTTCCTGAGCCGACTGTTTGTTCCGGATCTTTCTGCGGATTTTTTTCAGCACTCTCTCCTCATACTGCAGAGTGGATGGGACAGGGAGCTTTTGTCAACCTCTGCTGTCCCCAACCCCGCACCCAACCAGTGATCTGTTTGTTTGCACGAGACAGGTCTCATGTAGCCCAGGCTAGCCTGTAACTCACATGTAGCCAAGGATGACCTTGAACCCCTCATGCTCTTGCCTCCCCCTCCTGAGTGCTGGGGCGACAGGCCTGAGGCGCCCTGCCTGGTCTCTGTGGTACTCTGGCGCCTCCAGAGCTCTGATGCTTTTCTGGCTGCACTCACACGGCAGACCCCTCTCATTCTTGACTCTGACCCAGGCCACAGTGCCACCTGGTGGCAATGCCTGGGACCAGCACTTTGCCATCCACAGGGAGGCAGAGGCAGGAGAATCTCCATGAGTTCGTGGACAGCCTGATCTACAGAGCGAGTTCCAGGTATAGCCAGAGCTACAGAGCTACACAGGGGCTCGGTCCACAGAGCCACATATCCCAGGCATAGTGGTGAACGCCTGTCAGCACTCAGAAGGTGGGGGCAAGGAGATAAGAGTTTGAGAACAGCCTCAGCTACAGAGGGAGACCTGTAGATCTAGCCCTGCACACCTTGGTGAGAGGCAGTTGGGTGGGGAGGGTTACCCCCTCTTTAGCCAGCAGCTTCTTCTCATCCTCTGTCAGCACCAGCTCCTGGCAATGCCCACTCCCAGGTCCCAGCAGCTGGGAGGAGGCCAAGGAATGCTGTTGCTGTGGAAACCAGGGGGCATCCATTAGAGACTCTGAAACTAACAAAATGAGCAGGACATGGGGAGGGACATAAGCCTGTCACAGCAACACCCAGGACGACTGAGACGGGAGGAATGAAAGCTCAAGACCTGTCAGGGAAACATGGCAAGACCCTGTGCCCACAAAATAAAAAAAAAAAGGGCTGGGGGTGGAGCTCAGGGCTGGGGGTGGAGCTGGGGCTGGGGATGGAGATCAGGGCTGGGGGTGGAGCACAGGTCTGGGGATGGAGATCAGGGCTGGGGGTGGAGCTCAGGGCTGAGGGTGGAGCTAGGGGCTGGAGATGGAGCTTATGGCTGGGGATGGAGCTGGGGCTGGGGTGGAGCTCGGGGCTGGGTGTGGGATGGATTGATTGATTGGCAGGAGCAGTGGTCTTACATCATCACCACTTAAATGAATGCTGGCATTGCTTCCAATAGTCTCTATCCTAACCCTGTCTCGCAGCAGGAAGCTGGTCCTCCTGTAGTCACCCGTGGCTTCCCCCACCCCCTTCTCCTTTCCTGAAGAGTGTGCCAGCCCAGAAGAGCAGACAGGACACTGCAGGACTGTCTGGCATCGATGTCCCAGGCTGTGCAAGGCAGACATGGCAGGCATCTGTCCCGACATTCAGGACTTTAGTAGGGTGGGAATGCCTACCAAGTCCCCACCACTGCCAGACAGCAACAGCTCCTTCACCGTGAGGTTGAATCTGAAGGGTGAGCCAGCCTGCTCCTCCGGGTACAGCATGTCTGTGCTCCACAAGTCTGCCAGGTGGGGAAGGACAGAGAGGACATTGGGCTGTCGTCTCAGTGCCCAGCTCCCAGCAAGTCCCCAATGTCAGCCTCAAAAACTAAGACTTTTTTCCTATTAAGACAGGGTTTCGCCAGGCGTTGGTGGCGCACACCTTTAAACCCAGCACTTGGGAGGCAGAGGCAGGCTGATCTCTGTAAGTTCAAGGCCAGCCTGGTCTCCAGAGCAAGTGCCAGGACAGGCTCCAAAGCTACACAGAGAAACTCTGTCTCAAAAAAAAAAAAAAAAAGAGAGGGTGTTGGGCTGGAGAGATGGCTCAGAGGTTAAGAGCCCTGGACTGCTCTTCCAGAAGGCCTGAGTTCAATTCCCAGAAACCGCATGGGGGCTCACAACCATCTGTTATGAGATCTGGTGCCCTCTTCTGGTGCGCAGGCAAAGACAGGGTTTCTCTGTGCAGCCCTGGCTGTTCTGGAACTTGCTCTGTAGACCAGGCTGGCCTCAAACTCACAGAGATCTGGCTGTTTCTGACTCCTGAGTGCTGGGACTAAAGGCGTGCGCCACCACCGCCCAGCTAGGAACAAGGACTTAATGGTAGGAAAAAGCACCTTGCAAATCTTCAGAGACAGATCATGGGGCGTGGTCAGGGTGGAACCCTGCCTAGAATCCCTGAGTAAGGGGGTGGTAGTGTAGTCAGCAGCTGTCCTGGGTCCCTATATCTCCAGCTCGGGCACTTCCTGGCTAGGGATGCCCATCAATAGATGTCCCTGAAGTAAATCATTACTGATCTGTGGAGGTGGCCTCTGATGATCTGTCCTTCAAGGCCGAACCTGTGCCTGTGCCAGAGGCTCTGGAATCTCCAGGACTTTTATTGAGCACTCCTGTGTTAGCCACACTTGGACAAACCAAGTCCCAGGCCACCCTCTGGCCTCGCACCCTGGTTGCCTGGTGTCTGAGTTACCTGTGGGAGCTTGTCCCGCCCCCCATCTGTGAAATGGGCCCCGTCTGCCCGCAAAGTGTTCATTTGTCCCATACTCACCCAGGTCAATGGCCACCGAGGATTCCAGTACTTGTGTCCTTGGAGGAGCAGGGCACGGGGCGCTGGATAGGTACGGGGGGCAGGGCCCCTTGTCTTGCTGGCTTGGGTGACACCTGGCTGTGGTGTTAGCTGCTCCAGGACTGCTGTGAGGAGGGGTGTCCTGAGGATCTGAGGGTAGATCCTCAGAGAAGCCGCTGTCACTGTCAGCCGGGGACCATATGGGGGAGCTGGGGTCAGAGTCTCCGGGTCCCAGGATGGAATTTAGGAAGTCATCAGAGTCAGAATTTGGTAGAACCTTCCAGAAGGAGAGTGGAGAGAGTGAGACAAATGAGCCTGCTGTGTGAGTCTGGGCAAATCCCTGGTCTTCTATGCCTTCGGGTCAGAGCCATCCTTTCTCTGTGAGCATTCGAGGCATGATAGCAGACAGCACCTAAGTTTGACCCTGAGCCCAGTCCCACGGTGGCTAAGTGGGGTGAGCCACTTCACCGCAGCCCGTTAGAAGAAGCATCTAGCCACACAGCCACACATTGAAAGGTTGATTAAGCAGCTGCTGTGAGCCAGGCTCACACGCTGCCAGATTCGCGCCAGCAGGCCCACGGGTGTCCCTGCCCCCTTCCCCCGCCTCCCAGCACTGCGGCTGGGAGCGTCCACACCTGGAACCCTCACCTGCTCCTTCCCAGCATGGCCCCAGCCTTCTGCCAGCTCTACATTCCTCAGAATGCCATCCTGCCGGTCAAACAAGAGGTCTAGGAGTTCCAGGCTGTTCAAGGGACCCATGGTGCAGGCAGGGGACGCCATCTGAAGTGAAGAGAGAGGGGGCAGGTCACACTGTGTCCTTCACACACAGCACCCCAGCTCCTTCTGGGACACTCAGGCCCTGGGCTGGGTCTCCGTCTGTGGATCTGCCCTGGGGTAGCCAGGAGTCTTTAAAAGACCACAGTGGTGTGAGGCTATGACGTGAGTTCTCAGGAGGCTGAGGCAGGAGGGTGGCAGGTTCCAGGCCAACCTGGGTTACCACCAGCAAAACTTAAAAACATCAAGCAAACAAACGAAATCTGGGGATCCATACGGCTAGCGTGCTGAGGCACGCATTTCAATATAGTCTTTAAAAATGTTACTATAGATGTAAAAACTTGTAGAGATTGGCACCTGGATCAAACCGGTCCTGAAGTCCCTGGGAGGCTGTGGGGTCCCACTGCACGCCCTGTCCAGCCGTCCTCCCGCCCGCCGCTGCGATGGGTCCCCTCCAGCTCACCACCGCCTGTGGCCCCTCACCTTTCCTGTCGCTATGTCCCCATCCATGTCCCGGCCTAGGCAGCCCCTTCCCGGGTCCCTGTCGCCGCCTGCTGCTCCCTATGCCACGTCTCCACCCCCAAAGGATGCTGAAATACGGGCCCGCAGCTCCCTTCCCAGCCTCCGCCGCAACTGGGCGCCAGGGCAGACAGACAGGACCTCGGGCCAATGGCGAGCGGCCGCGGGGGAGGGCGGGACGACCGTTATCGCTCTGTTTTGTGCTTTTCCAAGGAGCAAAGAGCAAAGTCTGGGGTGTCGGGTCTGCGTGACCTCTCCCCTACTTACAGCTTCTGTTTTGGGTTCCCAGCAAAACGCAGATTTTTTGGGTGGTTCGTGCCTGCTCCGCGACAGCGTGAAACAGCAGCCACTTGTGTGTGGGATTTCGTCCCCCTCATGCAGGGTGACAACCCCTCACCTGCTGAGCGACCCCCACCGTCCCACGTGGGTAATCAATTCCTCTGGAATCACCTGGCCTGCATGTATTTAGCCAACAAATATTTATACAAACTGCACTTTCCCTACCCCAGGGCCTTTGCACCTACCCTCGGCTGCCTATCACTCTGTCACACTGAGTCTTCCTGGTCTAGCTTGGGCTTCCCGTTACTATGACCTTCAACTCCGGATCCTCCTGCCTCCACCTCCTGGGATAACAGGTGTGATGACAGTCACCATACCTGGCTTATGTGGTGGGCTGGTAAACTCTCTCACAACAGCCTTCAGAGCCCTGTCTGCCACTTCCTGTCTCCCCTGTGCTGCCCTGCCCTGGCTCCAGCAGTATCCTCAGTCCTCAGTTGCCAGGATAAATTTTTTTTTTTTTTTTTTTTTTTTTTTTTTTTTTTTGTTTT